TTTTCTCAGGCATAGTTTTAATTATTTGTCTAGCAATTTGACCACTAGTACGTTCTTAACATTCAATTCCTTCTAGTCTTTTTCAGTCTTTTTTAGTGATTTTTATTCATGTTTCTTGTCACTATTCCCTTAGAAATAATAAATTTTACTGCTTTTTAAAATCTCAAAAACGTGATCTGAAACAATACTGCTGACATAATAAATCAGTGCATAGTTAATGTAAAAACACATTTTTTGTTGTTAATATACGGAAATGCCAATTGAGAAGGAGAATTTTAACCAAAATTACATAGTGAAATTTCAGTTTCAGCTATTTCATTACACTTCAAACGATTTATGACGAATAATTTTTTCAAGTATAAATTAGAAAAATTAATATTCTATAAAATTTCCCTAATTTTAGGTATTATGTTTCTGACGCTAGATACAAATGATCTAAAGTTAAGCAACTTTGAACAGCAACTTTAAAGAGTGGAACTTCTGAATGGTTTCTTTGAAACTCTGGTATTGATTACGTTTTTGCGAAAAAACACATAACTGGAACTGTTTGATGAGGAAGCTTTTTTCTTACTTGACTTATACTGCTTGAGTAAATTAGAAGCTTTGCGTGACACAAGTTTTTCAGCTTTTGTTAATAGTTGTTCGTAAAAATGGAGACAAACCTTGATTTGTTCTTGTGAACACTAAAGTTTCAAATGCTAAGTAGCAACAAATAAACAAGATTATGACTTTTTATAATGTTTTTAAACTTTAAATAGTTATAAAACAGTGGCTGTCAATATAAAGATGTTTACGTCTGTAAAGTAAGATAAATGGAAGATTGTTTTTAGATTTTCAGTTTTAAGCAACTGCTAGTAGGACGATAGATAACTTGGAGTATGCGCCTTAACTCGTTCAGAAGACTACTAATCACAGTCGGAGCTCACAGACAAAAAATCTTTATTTAAAAAAAAAGTATCGTTTTTTGAAGAATTATTATAGAATAGATTTTCTTTGTCAGGTTCAAATTTTATTGCACATACATCTGGTAACGTTTTAAAGCTTCTCTGCTGAGTACTGATAATTGTTAGATCTCATAACCAAGATAACGGTTATGAATTTTACAGTTTAATAAAAGCTCAAAAAATTATCGAAATCCACTAGACAGATAAGACAGACTTTTTTTTTTTCTTTTGAATAAACTACTTCTGAAGTCAGTAATATTTGCATTCCAGGTAACAAAGAGAACAAAACAAGCTAACAAGTTGAACTGATCAAAAAGAACATAATGCTGGAAAAAAAACTATAATATCCGACCATAATATAAACTGTAACATAACATTGTTAAAACTAACTTTAATTGCGAAGAAAGACAAATCGTATGAATAATTCAGAGCAATCACGAAAAGACGTCTTATTAGCTTTGGAAAATGCAAAAACCTCAAATTTCTCTCTTTTTTTTGCTTTCTAATAAGAAATTTTCTGCTGAAAAATCTATTTTTTCTAAATATTCTAATAACCAAAAAGTTGTGCCTGTAGGGTAAAAGGTTTAGTTAAAATTTTCACAAGTTTTTTGTTTGTTTAAAAATCAAATCTGTATTTCGTTTTTTCGTTTTTTTTTTTTTTTTACACAGCTTAATTGCATTTGCAGTCGAAAAGAAGCATTATTTTTAGCGTCTTAAAGAAAATCAGTTAGTAAAAATTTGCGGCAAAAGGAAACCAAACTTTATTTCCCGTTTAAGCTCTTTTATCGAGGGGAAAGTGTCGTTGGTTTGCAAGAGGATATTTATAATTGAAAGGCTTTCTTAAACCGTAAAGGCTTAAGTTTTTTTGTCAATTCGTAGCACCAAAAAAAATTCTTCGATTGCAACGACAAAAAATTTTGCACTTGAAAACTAACAAACAACTGAGACATAAAATTGAAACATATTTAATATATCTTTTAAACTATAAGGAAATGTGAGTGCAAAACTAATAGTGTTAAACAGTTAAACAATTTTCTGGTTTTTTTTAGTGATCAAATTTGATTGTTAAAAATTGAAGTGCAAAAAATTTTTAAATTTTAACTTTTGATAATAGTAGTTCAAAAGAAAACTTGGAGATGAAAAGAAAAAAACACTCATCAATAGAATTCCTTTGTCGACGAAAAAGTGATAGAAAAGCGGAACTTAAATTAACTTTTAACAAAATTTTCTGCCTGTCTTTTTTTTTTTTTTTTT